ATTTTTCTTTTTATTTATTCCCCTTTTTGTGAGTAAAATGGAAACACATTATTTTCAATGCGATGGGCCACGGATTAGACCTAGTGGTTAGAGAATAATTCCATTGGCGAGTGTATGGTTAATGTTTCCATATCCTCGAATCTTTTATTTGCTGTGACTCGTAATCATATTCATTCTTGCGTTCAATATTTTGAATGGAACCATGTTGTAAAGTTAGAAAGAAACCACATTATTCTGGCTGGTAGTTGCCTTCGCTTTGACGTCAAACCATTCGCGGATTTCACTTAACAATTCCTCCTTGTGAGCAATCGTCACTCGACCACATCATTGCTTTTCATTTATTTATTTTATTCCTTTACACATTCATTTTAATAATCACAAACCTCATCTATTAATAAAAGCTGAGAACATTTTTGGATTGGAGCTAGGAACATTCTACAATCTTCACAAATCTCTCTATACTAAAAATCATCATGTGATCACAAGTGACTACATTCAAAATGCAACTTGTGGAGTTCTAGTGAAGAGCCGTGATCACTTGAGTTCAACCACATAGAGTGTTAGGCAGTTGTTCACTGCAGGCAATAAGTGTTGTGCATTATCGTGAACTGGTCAAAGTTGAACATGTACACCTCTAGGTGCAGGCTCAGTGGTCTAGAGGTTAGGCGTCCGCGTGTGAAAACTAATGGTCTTGGTCTGAATTTCCGGTTGCGGGCTCGTGCATGGCCTTTGGCGAGGAGTCGCATACTATCACAAAACGCCCATTCAGCTTTTCAGTGGCAGTCTAACTACTGTCACCTCTCAGTTTAAACCATGAAAACGCCTAATTTATAACAAATTGGCATTGAATCTCCTCAAGCTATATGTGGGAATGCCTACACAATGCATTTTAACTGATTACTAACCTTGATCTAATTTATACTACCTTGTGATCAATCTTCAGGGTCCTATCACAAATGACAGACTTAGTTATCACCTGTTGACTGATAAAACTTTGAGAAATATCAACGTTCTCTTTTTGTTGTTGTTGTTTATTATTATTTTATTTATTTGAACACATAAATATTGGTACAAGGAAGCACCAAACAGATACTCGCCACACAAGTCACTTGCTTTGTGTGTGGGCTGTGATACTGCCTGGGTTCCCAGACCGAAACACGTATTTTCCTTAGGGGACCACGCCCTGAACATTCGACCTAGGGGTCTAATCCACAAGGTAGTGGAGCAACGTCATGAGATGCAGTCCCATGGTAGCCGATGACCAACGATAAGTTCATACACCATTTGTCTCCTTCAGGATGCCACGAGGCGGCATGAGTAAGACTTCTCTGTCAGTGTCTGTATACGCGTAGAAGTGTGAAAGCATTTCGAGAGGGAGAGCTGACCCTCGCCACTCTCAGACGTACCAAGGCATTTGAGGGTAAAACAGTCCCTCATTTTCCATTTCTTAATTCAAGTAACTCCAGAGCATTGTTCTAGCAAACTTAATTTGTATAGAATTTAGACTAGAGAGAATAAAAATCTTAGCGCAAGATGAGCTCATTTATTTTAAGGTTCTACTTTAACTACTCATAACCTAGAATCAGTAGTAGTAATTATTTACATTATATCATATTGTTGAAGATTAGTAGTTTGAACATTCTTATGGAGTATACAAGGAAAAGAGCACAATCGTTATTCTGATAAAGCAATGAGAAAATGGAGTCGATCTGAAAAATGTGATGTATTGGCGCTATACTCGTCAGGGTATTTTATATGAAGATTATTAACAATCAATTAAATGAATGTTCAAGTAAACAAAGTAATGAGGGCGAGAGAATTAGTCCTTGACAAATTTTTACCAAGTTTTTTAAACTGTATTGATATCAGTTCTGTGCGTCGTTTCAATCCTGTTTCGCTGTCGATGAACATGGTTTTCTACTTCCCAAGTTGATCGGAACATTTGACATTAACTGGTTTTGAAGCCATCTTGGCACTTGTTCCTTAGGTTCATTGAAGCCTTGGCTATTCGTAAATTTCAACCCCTCTTATATGTACAAAAACAATGCCATAACCTTGAATTTACACTGGTAGTCCTTGAGTCATTTTATGACTTAGGGTAATGCGACGACTTCCCATTCTTTTTATACGATGTAACATTTTTCTCTCGCTTTCATTACTTTGTTTACCTAAAGTTTCATTGAATTGTTACAATTCTTCTTAGCAAATGCCCTGACGAGTATAGGGCAAATACATCACATTTTTCAGATCAAGTCCATTTTCTCATTGCTCTATCGAAGTTTATATAATGACTTCGGATTTGTAACTGTAAAGCCTGATAAAAAATTACCGAAAACGATCGTTCGGTCTAATGAACATATGAAAACTCTAGGCAAAAAATTTTAAACCATATGGAAACACATTTTTAGATATTGAGAACTGACATCAAAAATATATATAAACAGCCATACAGCTTAATAGATTAGCAGTGCAAGACTAAGTAAAGGTCAATAAACGACGACGGATTGAAAGCAATTTTCAAGTAAGAACAAGAAATAATACATTACACAACTGATTTATGAAAAACAGAAATTACCAGGATAGTGAGAAATTTATAGCTATATCCTTTGGAATAAATTAGTTCGTTGTCAAACTTCTGTTAGCTACAGTCGTGATGAAGCAAACTAAATCCGAATTTGTGTGAATATTTAGTATTTTGAAGCTGACAGATTTTTAGCTATCAAGCCCGCGGCTGACATTGGCAACGTTAAAAACGAGTTGATCCTTGGATTCCAATTTTTGTGGGATCGGCTTCGTATAAATGTGCTATGGACATAAATTTTCCACCTTAGTCCATATATTACTTAGGCTAAATCCGTTCGCGCGACCGCAATGATAAGAAGCTAAACACGTTTTAAGTTGTAGGAATTTGTTTTAAGCACTTGTTTATCCAGACAGACATTCAGAATGAAAAGCAGGGGAGCGAAGAATCAGACTGGAGAAAACCAGTGTTAAATTTGACAGAGTTAAAACAGGCCGAATGTAGTGAAGTGATACACACACATCTTCATATAAAATAATCAGGGTTGATGGGCGAATAATTGACACGATCAAAGTGACTCAAAAAAATTTTTTAATTGACCTGCTTGGGGATTAGAATAATCCATGTGAGCTTGACACAGTACTAGACAAAACACTGAGAATAACATTCAGACGTATGTTCTCAGTGTATGGCTATCTAGTGGATAAAACATATAGAACAGTTGCGGAGTTTTGTTCTGCAAGAAAACATTTAGGCATTGTAGTATCTACTGAGAAAAACACAACTTTCTATACGGGTTTTGAAATAGTGATGAATGTAACCGGAGTAGAATGACGCTCGTTCAACTTCGTGAAACATGTGTGTTGACTCTAATATAAAGTTTTAGGAGTCGTCTTAATTTATATTGTTTGGAAATAGTTCATCCCACCAATTACCTTTAGTTAGGCACCGATTGTAAACGAGGTCACTATATAGTTTCTTGATACTAGTACGAAATCCCTTTGCAATCATTATTCATAAAACCAGGAGGAAGAAAATATTTTTGACAGGATCATCACGAACCTTGAGCACACATCCATGCATTGGTTTGTATAGACATAAGGCACTGTTAATCCTAATTATTTTATACCCAATCGGTTGACTGATAATGGGTTTTAATCCATGTGTTCATGTTTATCCAACAATACAGTAACTGAACTAGACTCAGACAACAATTTATACGATTGACCGGTAAATCCAAACTATGCAGTATATTCCTCATACCACACAATAAGATTAATACTTTTCAGTCTCCGTACCTAATAAGGTTCATTTATATAACTCTGTCGTTGGTCGATTCTTAGCATGAAAAGGCAATATACGATATGTGGTGATAGGTGCGAATTTGACGTTAGCTGGTTGGTCACACCATTCTTATCTAATCCAAGTATGCCTCCGACATATCGATTAAGTCCAACAACGTTAGTGACCTAAACATTCACCAGTTAACACGATATTATCATGGAAAGTTTGCAGGGATCGTTTGGTTTGAAAATACTTTAGTTGAAGGAAGGAATAGATAAGTTTATCTACTATCTAACCATCATCAAGGCTGAGAAATCATCCGTCATCCTAGTGAGTAGAAGGGTCGTTTTCAGTTGATGACTAGGTAATTCGTACTCAAGTTTACACCGACACAAAACTAGAACTTCTTTAGTACATAGCAAACAGTGCATCATTTTCGCTTTATTTAACATAACAGATATTCATGTGCCTGGATTTGTCATACGTTTGTCACATAAATCAAATTAGTAGCATTGAAAGGACGGTATCTTTCTTCAACTGTATATATATTTCCCTTCAATTTAAAACAGAGTCAAAACGTAATTCGATAACACAGAGCAGTACTACTCTTCTTTGTTTATTACCTTTAATTCACTAAAACGAAACTCGTTATTAAACATCAATTAGCTTTCTGCATGATTGTTATGAGTTCAGATTTTATGGTTCAACTACTAAACAAAAACGGAATGCCGATTGACAGATGAAATACAATAATCCAAACTATTGACATAAGAACCTTGATGGTTTGGGATGAAAGATAAGACTACTTACCAGAAGAAGAATTTTTGTATGATAAAATAACACTTTTATACAAACTATTAACGGAATAGAGATGACCAAATTTCACAAGCAATTGAATTACATCAGTTTCGTAGTTCACACGGTAATAAATGAGCTCTTGAGTGCTAAACCTAACACTAGCTCGTCATATCAATAAATAATAATTGTTTCAATGTCGTCACTTTAGATTTCATTGAATAAATTATATCTCCAAGTATATAGTTGTCTGTAACTTTGCACTTGACATTTTGTAAGTTTTATAATGAGAGTGGATTAAAACAAGTTAATTCAAACATCAGTTACAATGTAAAAGATATTTTAAAGTCAACTGCCTACGATAAATAGGGTTGGTTGAAAAATGTTAAAGACAGAAAAATTAATTTACATTTATTTTATTTTACCATATTTCGTAATATTTAAGTATCAGAATTACAACTAAACAATAAGATTCATTAAAATGAAGAAACAGAACAGTCCATTCGTCTGTTTAATGAACGATTTATCTATGACTTTCAACCTCTTTGGTACAGGAAGTTATGAACGTAATTCATATTTTCTAATTGATGAAAATTAAGAATTAATTTTCAGATTAACGGTTAGTATTAAAAGATATCAGGCTAGCAATTTAAAAACGTGAAGTCCGTTTAAATGTCTAAAACATATCTAATATGTGCTGGCGATTAGAATGATTTATTTTTCCGTAAGATATTTCATCACTATAGGTACCAACTTACAAATGTTAGTGTACTTCACTGAGATTTGTTTGGTTCTTTGGGTTTATATAATATCTGATGTGAACTATGTCTTTACTAACTAATACACAACAATTTATGTCACAACAAATAAGCAACCTCCCTAATACTCGTGGAAGATATTTAGGAAACTAATGATAGATAAGTTTTGTATGTCCTAAATTCACTAACTACATATATTTATCACAACTTTGGGAAGCAAAAGAAATGAAATTTCAAAATGTTACAGCTCATTGTTACTGATCATTTTCGGTGCAGCAACTTTGGTCGATAATTAATAAAGCGCAATAAATCTTAAGGTACATAACCGCAAATGTATTATACGGTTCGAAAAATAAACTTTATGACCAACTTTTCAATATATAATGGTGACGAATGAGTATCAAAAAATAAAGAGCACCTGTGTACACCAAAAAAAGGGTTTGAAGATGATCGAAACAAGATTATCAATGTGATAAAATAGTAAGACATTATATTCTTACTAAAGATTTATTCAGTAATAGATGAAGCACAAAAGTTGAAATTAATTACAAATATAATTGGACATTATTTAGACCAGGCGAATGGACCTGGACCAGGGAGGATTTTACCAACAACACCATAACCAATAGTAGCGGAACTAGCACGAATAGTAAAACGCTGTCCGACCTCAAGAGCCTACAACAATAAAAAGTTTGCTTTATAAAAACGAGTAAGATTTATCGTGTAAATAGCTACAGAAGCATGTAACTAATTTTGTCTATTAAAAGTGATGTGAAGTAGCGGAAGTAAATGTGATTTGACGGTGAGTATTTATAACCAGACACGCAGATTACTTACTCTTAAATATGTGCTTTAATTTTTCTTATTGATCACCACTCCGTACTCACTGAGTGACTGTTTGTAACAGTGTGCAATAAAGTATTGTCTGGCATTACTCTGGTTTCCTATTTTCGGTCGTCAACCAAGTATGAGGTAACGTGATCTGATCTTTTTATAGAGGACCATTCGAATATCCAATCTAGAAGTGTTATGAACTTGGTCGCCCTGATCAGTTTTATTTTCATATTATAATATTATCGTATTATACCGCAAAAAGTATTTTAACGTTATACCAAAAATCTCCGTCTGTGGACCACTTAGGGTTAGTGTCGGTCCCGAAACCAGATAAAGGAGAGTTGGGTATGGGATCAACAAACCGTCCTGTGGAAAACAACCTTGCTAAAAAACTCCAACCAAGAACAATTTAAACGAGTTGAAGGATCTTCATTCAGGAAAATTGATGCCTTATGGTGAAAGGCGACATTCTTCGAAATTCACGAGTCCGATGCCATTTCTAACAACCAAGACAACAATTAATATTTATATATCGAATATACGAGCAATGTTGGAGATTGGGAGAACCAGCTAAATAACTGAGATGAGGAGATACAACTTGGTGGTGATCCGAATAAGTGAAATCCATTGGACTCAAGGTGAACAAAAAAAGATAGCCTCTGGAGAGATGCTGTTGTACCCTGACAGGTCATGAGGAAGAAAGTGCTTCGCATACACAAGTATTTTCACTGATGCCATTCAAAATAACACGGAAAGTACTTACAGGATCAGAATCTTATGGGTTCAGAATAATCAAAGGATCCTTCAAAACAAAGGAGGGGATCGCAATGATAGGAAGCCTAAACGACGAAGTCAGAACGGATAACACCAAGTGTGAAGATATCACAAGACGATATGAACTGGAAGAAAGGAACGAAAATGGTTAGAGATTTGCAAATTTTTGCATTCAAAGTGGTCATAAGTGGCAATATATCCACCCACAAACCCATACACAAAGCTACATGGGTCTCACCGAATCATAACGCAAAGAACCAAATGGATATTTGCAGCACTGAAAAATCTAGAAGATCAACGGAAGACGTGAGAACTAGGATAAGAGCTGACATAGCTTCAGAATGCCATATAGTTGTAGCCAAGATGAAACTAAAGCTCAAGAAACACTGTAAAACTAGACAAACAGCATTACGAAAGTTTAATACTGCTTTCTTTTGAGACATTGGAAGACTCAACGAATTCGAGATAGTGTTCAAAAACAGATCACAAGTCTAACAAGATCTACTGAAATAATAGGCAACTACAATGGGGAACGACTAGAAAGGGATTGAAGAAGTACGTGTTAGGAGGTTCAGGGTCACAAAAAAGCATCTTCGGAAAAAATGAATCTCTATCGATACGCTGGGCTAAATTCAAGAAAGGAAGGACAAGGAAACGGCTATTAACTACAGTTGAACAGTAGCAGAAAAAGTCAAGACACTCCGAACACATAGAAGCAAACAACAGCGTAAAGAGAAGCATCAGAGCCGATAAGCAGAAATACGTGGATGGAAGATCTGGTAATGACAGTGGAAAAAGCTACAAGAGAAGAAAGTACGAGACAACTATATGATACAACGAAGAAACTAGCTGGGAACTGTAGTAGAACAGAGACAATAGTCGAGAACAAGAAGGCAAACCAATCACCGAGACTCTAAAACAGTGGAACAGGTGAATAGAATACTTCGAAGAACACTCGAATAGACCAGTTCCACTAAATCCATCGAACATCGAAACAACACCTGCATACAGTGCAGTGGCTCTCACCACCCCAACAGTCGAAGAAATCAGACAACATACCAACTGAAGCACTGAAGTCAGGCATAGAAGTAACTTCAGATATACGACCTATTCAGGAAGACTTGAGAGGAAAAAGTCAGTCAGTTACAAGACGAGACTATAATTTATGGTGCGAAATTCACTCATCCATTTGGATATTTTTGGCATTATAGCTGATGTCAGTTCGTGATGAAAACTCTAAATCTAATTCCTAACCCTAACCATCAACTGTAAATCATAATACTAATTTCCCACACGGGTTTATAACCTCATTCGGTCGTAGTTATTTGGTGGACACTCTCAGAAGCACGAGCAACAACAACAGGAACAAATTAAACGTATACACAGCATAAAACTGTCCTTGGGAACCGTTACAAAATAGCATAGTAAAAGATACAACGGACGAATTCTGTCTAAGATTCTCAAACGTGGGAAACACGATATGAAGGTTAAAAAGCGCTTCTGGTGAGAAAACGAAGAAATTTGAATTTTAAAAATCAAATCAAAAAAATAAGGTCTTCACCAAGTGAGATCTGGGGATCTAACATCCCCAACAAAAACATTATGTATAATGATAGAAGCCCCCGAATGCCCTGGTACGGCCGAGAGTAGGGAGAGTCCGCTATCCATCTCGAAATGCTCTCACAAGGTCACGCGTATATAGCCTCTGCTAGGGACGCCCTATTCACTGCCTTCTCGTGGCGGGGGTGTTGTTTACAAAATTGGGAGGACGAAAAGCGAATGTCCGGCGCTTTAACCGGGGTTGGTGGACATGGAGAGTCCACCTAGGGGAGATGGAAAACCCTGATTCCAAACCAATGGTGCACATGGGCTCCAGCATCCTAAAAGAACAAATGGCGTATGAACTAATCGTTGGTCGTCGGCTACGATGGGACTCTCCTCAAATGTCACCATAGCCAACGATTCTAGTGCTCAAAACACTGTCCCAGGTCTACTGAAACCTCGCTCCACATTACACATTGGAGCCTTCAATGTACGCATTCTATGTCAAATCAGTCAACAGGCTTCCTTGGCTAAAACCCAGGAATCTCGTACCCTTGATATATGCTGTGTCTCTGAAACACGCATACAGGATCCCAGTGTGGTCATTCACTTGACCTCACCTCGGCAAGACGGAGAGCAAACGAGACACACCCTTCGTGTATCTGGTGACCCGATGACCGGCTCTCGTGGACCGGCAGGTGTAGGAATAGCACTAAGCATGAGGGCGGAACAAGCACTACTAGAGTGGATCCCCGTCAACAGTCGTCTATGTGCTGTTCGGTTAAACGGCTCCGTAAGAACTTGGAAGAATAGGGACACACGTCGTTGCCTTTTTGTCGTTTCTGCCTACGCTCCCACCGACTGCAGCTCAGATGAAGTGAAAGATGAATTTTACAGAAAGCTATCTGAGCTTCTTCAGAAAGCTAGACGTTTAAACGTAGTACCCGTAGCAGGTGACTTTAATGCCCAGATAGGTAGTTTAAACCAAACAGAAAGGCATTTAGGTGGGTATTTTAGTATACCGGCACAGCGAACAGATAATGGTGATCGTCTGCTGCAGCTATGCTCAGACAATAGTTTATTTTTAGCAAACACAAATTATAAGCATAAGGAGAGACATCGTCTAACATGGCGACCCCCTACACCAAACCAACGATGGACTCAAATAGACCATATTGCCATCAGTCATCGTTGGAGAGGGTCGGTAGAAGATTGTCGCTCATTCTGGAGTACCTGCTTGGACTCCGACCATGCCCTGATACGGGCACGCATCTGCTTGCGCCTCACTGGACGCAAAAAAACCACATTAAAAAGACCCGTTAGAACTGAGTTGAGTAACGAGAAAAACAAAAGTAGGTTCCAGGAACAACTGAGGTCACTCTTAGGTAGTTCTGAAAACGAGGCTGACCCAGATGTTGCTTGGAAAGATATACAAACAGCTGTGGAAACAGCAGTGACATCTACCAGTGATTTAAACCACAGGGTTACAAAGAACCAATGGATTTATTCAAGATCTATTGCACTGATGGATTCTAGCAAACTCGTGAACTGCAAACACGAGAGAACCAAGCCTGCTTCAGACCTGGTCATGGCTGCATCGACCACATATTCACCATTCGTCAGGTTCTAGAAACACAGGCATACTTATCGACGTCCGACAATGGTGGTCTTTCTTGACTTAAAAGCAGCATTTACTCTGTATACCGCGAGACTCTGTGGCAGTGTCTGTCATTGAAAGGCGTACCTCAGAAGTACATAAACCTTGTGAAGGCTCTTTACTCGAACACTACTAGTCTAGTCAGAGATTATGGCGAACTGTCATCTACTTTTGAAACCTCAAGTGGTGTCTGTCAAGGCTGCCCACTTTCTCCATTTCTTTTTAGCTTCATCATAGACCTACTGATGGAAATAACATTCTCGTCGACTGAATTCTCGGGTATTGATCTGCTACCAGGAGGTCCACTTATCGACTTAGAATACGCAGGTGACATAGTCCTATTTGGTGAAAACGCTGATAGAATGCAGAGTCTTTTGGTATCGCTGAGCAACAATGCCAGAATGTTTGGAATGCGCTTCTCTCCCTCTAAATGTAAGTTGTTGCTTCAGGACTGGTCTGCGTCAACACCCGAACTAAGGATAGAGAGAGAAGTAGTCGAACGTGTTGACAACTTCACTTATCTTGGAAGTCTGATCAGCCCTAATGGGTTGGTGTCTGACGAAATCTCAGCACGGATTCGAAAAGCTCGTTTGGCTTTTGCCAACTGACGTCACCTATGGCGAAGGCGAGATATCCGTATATCATTTAAGGGACGAGTATACTGCGCGGCAGTCCGTTCTGTTTTAATTTACGGCAGCGGAACATGGCCATTAAGAGTAGAAGACACTCGTAAGCTACTAGTATTTGACCACAGATGCCTTAGAAATATTGCTGGCATCTGCTGGGATCACCTGGTAAGTAATAGTGAGGTTAGACGCAGAGTATTAGGTAATGATGGTAAATCAGTTGATGAGGTTGGTAATCTTCATCGACTGAGATGGTCGGGCCACGTGTTACGTATGCCTGAACACCGATTACCACGTCGTGCAATGCTAACGGGTGTTAGAGATGGTTGGAAGAAGGTTAGGGGCGGCCAAACCAAAACGTGGCATCAGTGCTTGAAGACACTAACCTCTAGTCTGAGCCATGTTGGTAGATGCAGACTACTTGGTTGGGGTCCGCGTGACTTTCGTAACCGATGGTTGGAGACTCTTGGTGACATGGCTCAGAATCAATCACAATGGCGTAGGTGTATACACTCCCTGTCTTCCCTTAAACTAAGAGATTAAAATAACTTCATATCTTTCTTTCTACGAACTAATTCTTTCTTCCTGTACTGTATCCTTATATGCAATCTTTCTTTTATATATTACCACCTCTGAATTAACTACTTTTAAGAATCCGGTGTCTATCTTGTTGTGTTAATGAGGTATGGCAACTTGGACCGATGCATAAATGTGCCTGGTCCTACGTTGTAGCTGACTGACTGACTGCCTTGTGGTAAATCGGATGGTGAGGTTGTAAATCATGATCGACTGAGATGGTTAGGCAACGTGTTATGTATGCCTGAACACCGACCACCACGAAGCGCAATGCTGACTAGTGTTGGGGACGGTTGGAAGAAAGTTAGAGGCGGCCAAACCAAAACGTGACATCAGTCCTTGGACTCACTAACTTTTGGTCTGAGCCATATTGGTAGGTGTAGACTACTTGGTTGGGGTCCGGGAAACTATCTTATCCAGTGATTGGAGACTGGATGACATGACCCAGAATCGATCACAATAGCGTAGGTGTCTACACTCTTTGTCTTGCCTTAAACTATGAGATTAAATTTATTTTATACCTTCCTTTCTACGAACTAATTCTTTCTTCATATATGATGTCTTTATACATAATCTTTCTTTTATATATTACTATCACTGAAGTGACTACTTCTATGAATTCATTGTTGATCTTGTTGTGCTAGTGAGGTGTAGCAACTTTGACCGATGCATATATGTGCCTGGTTCTACGTTGTAGCTGATTGACTGACTGATAACACAGGAAGAATTAGTTCGTAGAAAGAAAGATATAAAGCAATTTTAACATCAGGGTTTCAGGCAAGACAAAGAGTGAATACACTTATGTTATTGTGATCGATTCTGAACCTTGTCACCCGGAGTCTTCACACGGAGGAAGAACAAGTGCCGACAGGTTGGAAATAAAGATACCTCATCAAAATATCAGAGAAAGATCTCGGCAACTGTGAGATCCACAGAGGCGTCACCTACCAATCAGTGTGAGGAAACGTTTTCCACGGAGTGCTGTCGAACCGAATGAAGGATTCAGTAGGCACCCAAATCCGAGATCAGCAGGCTGTATTCCGTAAGGAACGGTTGTGTACAGATCAAGTCATGATACTGTAGATCATTATCGAACAATCAATTGGATTTACAGTTGCATTGTATGGAGGTGAAACTTAGAGAACTACTATAACCATCACCAAAAAAGTACAAGTACTTCTAAACAATTGTCTACATAAAATATTCAACATTCATTGGCCGGATACCATCAGCAACAACTTAGTGTGGGAGAGAACAAACCAACTTCCAGCTGAAAAATAGGAAAAGACGCTAGAAGTGAACAGGACATAGGTCGAAAAAATCATCAAACTGCAAGCCCTTACTTGGAATCATGAAGGCAAAAGGAAAAGCGTAAGGCCACGAGATATATTGCGTCAGGGACTGGAAACAGGTATCAGAAGAATAAATGGCGATTAGAAACAACTGGAAAGGATTACCTAACACAGGGTTAGTTAAAGAATCCTGATGGACAGTCTATGCTTTTCCACGAGAGGTAACAAGCGTAAGTAAGCAGCTAAAACCAAAAACCCCTGGACCGTTTGAATTTTTTCCGACTACTTGTTTCCCATTTGCAAAGATTAACCAGAATGTATTCAAGATATATATGAAACTTGAAGTACAATACGCAAACTGTGTCTGAATCGTCTTTTTGATTCTTAATATTGATAGTACGAATTTGCAAATTATTAGATATCTTAAAAATTTAATTCAATAAAGTTTGATAACAGACACTTGATTTCGATGAGACTAACCATTTTCCTATGGAAGTGTAGGTTCACAGCTGCATCTTCCCCTGGCATAACCATTTCCTTCCCTTCAGGGAGTACTAGAACAGCAGGACAATCCCATGACTTACTGAAAACATGGAATTGGTGATTGCCCGTAAACGGTTTAGCACGACCACCTTCTTTCTTTGAAAGCATATACACCTGCAAAATTTGGAAAACTCACTGAAATTTTAGGAAAAATGCAGTAGTAAAATAAGAGAAATAACTGGAGGAAACATAATATGCGATACTTTTTGATGCTGAGAATAGTTTAAAAACTTTATGGACAGTTGGTTGAAACTGATGTAAAATGTGAAAATGTATAGAGTTGCATTTTGGTTTAATTCGGGATTCGAATCATTAACGATTATTCACACATTCGAACTCTCGCTCGTTTACTCAGACCGAAATAGTTGACTGATGTTTTCACACAACTGGTGTGACCAATCACATAACAGTACAACAGGGGGATTAATATGTTAACGCACAAACCGAATAGTTTAACCACACTAAGCATAATCTTTATTTTTATTATTTATTTTAACATATAGATATTGGTACAAGGAGGCACCAAATACATATGCGCCACACAGATCTCTTTGGATATGTATGAGGGCTGTGATACTGCCCGGGTGTCCAGACCGAATCATAATCTTGATGAGCAATAACTGAGCTCAACAGTTACGTCTTAATTTATTGAAGTGAGTGACATAAAAAACTAATTTCTTTTAATAGCTTATGACATCTAATCATATTAACTTTTTCTGTCAATAATTTATATACAAACATGTTAAAAGAAAGAACCTCTTCTAGACAGTTGTTTTTTCTTTGATTTCAGTTCTCTAGGAAGTTTAAGTCTACTATTCAGTCACGTATGAAGGTATCGCTTAGTTACATCGTAAAATTGCGTTCATCTATCAACCAGTGTTCTATTCATTCACTCATAACAGACCCTTTTTGCCTTTAAATGAATTTCACAGCTACTAGATCCAAACATAGCATGTAGGTGAATTGATATGACTTTACATGATAAAATTAACATACAATTTTATGTACAATTAGACTAACGGGGTGCTCTAAGTATCGTTAAATCCTTTGATTCATGAACTGGACTAATGGATATGTGAAATGTTGAACTTAGTGAGATAATGGTGACATATTCTTTTCAAACTACCTAAAAGAAAGCTATTAGTGTAGATAGGTGGGATAAATATTTTGCATCATTTGACTTTATACCCACAGATATAAATGATCATCCTGGATTCAAATATGCACCACGTAAAATGGTATGTACAACTAAGAAATTAAGTACCACACTAATCACTATATATATATATATATATATATATACCACTTGAAAAGTCTGTATCAATAATGTGGAACTGTGTCAACATTAAATGTGTGACTTCCTTTTTTGTGTAAAAGTAAGCTAAATGTTACTAATTTAACAATAGAATATGACGATGAATCTACCAACTTCTTGATGTCAAATGTATAAACGACCACAAAGAGATGTAGAGATGGGTAAAAAAAGGTTTGACTGAGTTTAAAAGAAGTATATGGAAAATATTATTTGAAAGAGTGAAGATAATTCGTTCAGATAACACAATGTATTGTGTGAAAATTCTAGAAACAAATGTTAAGAATTTCTATTCAAAAAGATTTACAAATGTTTGAAAGGATACCTTTAATTACGATTCCAAAGAAGAAAATGCGTATTAAAAACACCTTTTTAGCAGAGATTATGTATACTAATTGACCATACATCATTTGAAAATAGTTGCAAAACGAACATTCTATGGCGCGAAACTGCTATTTCCGTACATATTAAAAAAATTAACACCGCATTAAGAATCACGCATTACACACTACTTCAAATTGTGCATTATTTACATTTAGTAATGTGCAATGCATACAATTTGCAATTTAAAAAGAATCTTGAACTTATTCCAAAGAATCCTTAGTTTAAATAAAATCCTATACTGTTCAGTCATAACTCAGTATTTACATCTAAACTCAAGTGCATTTTGACTGCAAAGTAATAAAAGTATTTTAAAAGTTATAAGTATGAACTAGAACAACCCATGCTGGCAAAATAAAATCATCATTTCGACGCGTACTTACAAGAAGTGTTATAAAATACTAACACCAAAAAACTTACCTGACACTGAACATAGTCATGTATTGACATAGACTTTGGTTCTACAACAAACTGACCACGTCTTACTTCATCTCGTTTCACTCCTCTCATTAAGATGCCAACTTGGTCACCTGGTTCTGCTTGATCTAAAAGTTGGTGAAACATTTCAATTCCTGAAACAAATGAGAGTTCGTGACAGTTAGTCTAACATGGAGTATTCACACCGTCCAATTTTTTCTTGAAGATTATAATTACAGCATTACTCGGGGAAAAACGTAATAATAGGCCTAAACACTGTTGTGACAAATTTATATCACTTTCTGTTAGCGGGATATGGGCTGGATTAAGGCATATTTCGTGCGGGGTTGTGTTGGCGCACGCTGATCAGTCGTTTCTTGGCTAATCAGTACCAACGGATAATTAGGGAAGTCTCTAGAATCTTCTTGTGTAAAATTAGAAATGACAAACTTTTTACTGTGATTCTTATCCCCATTCAATCTTGTTTATTCAGAAAATAATTACGTCCCTGTTTATCTCTGTTCTGATTTGGGGACTGGTAGAGTGAAGTAGTATCTGAAATATACTAAGCAATAAGTAGCTGAGTCATAATAAAAGAGATCATAACACATTCAGTGATCGAATTATTAGCGTTTCGAATAGATTGGTAAAACAAGAATCACAACTTCAATGAAACGGACAAGAACCGAAAATTTGTTTACGAAATAAATATCAGAAGTGCAGTATTTGCTCGAGGTATAAATGATCATTTTATTTCAAATAAGCATACTGCTGCTTGAAGCACACTTTAGTGCTCAGCTGTACCAGAGTTTGTGCATTGACTAAATAGATAAAATGTGCAAGCATAGTGAAAAACGATAAATGGTAGTAAATTTATGGGACGATGTAGCGGAATTTTTAGTTGTCATATTTGATACATCACTTTTTGGAAAACGTTGTATAAATCAAACAGTTCAATCTCGCAAGATGCTAATAAACACTACACGGAAAGTAAAATAGCATAAGAACAATCACTTCTTCATCAATGAACAATTTTCGACACCTCGAACTTGTCACTCAAAACTATTATTAGTTTGAAAGTAATTTTAATCGGTTAAAATTATTTCAAGATACATACTAAAGCTAATAATTCGTGCAAGTGACACCAATTGAATCATCATCGCTGTGCCCGAACACACGATACCGAACCTCTACATTACTAATATGATGTTGTCGCTGGATGTCAGCAATCCTTCGAACAGCAATAATCAAACACAGTCATCTAGCATCCTCAAATCGGTGAGGGCTGGGATACAGTCCGGGTGGCCATTACATATATCCATCAGAGGTGTTTCAAGAACGTCATCAATGGCAAAGTTGGAGAGGAATAGTGAGACTGGACAAACCTGACTATCCTTACTGCTTGAATGAAACAATGGAGAGGTGGTTGTGTACCCTTAGTTTTATCATTTAAAAGTGGAACATTTTTGATGGTCTGAAAAATCAAAACACTTTGCTAAGCGATAAGAGTTATGTTATTGAATGTTTACCTGAATCGCCTAGACGTTTTCATTAGTCTACGAGACAGCTGCAATCAAGGTATTCCACTATGGGCTATGTTTACAACTATCTCGATTAATTTAAGAATTTACTGACTATCCTGGATGAAATAAGAAACCCAAATGACGGCTGATGGTGACGTTTTATTTCCACACTTATGGTTTTAGCGATTTGAAAAATTTAGAAACTATTTCCGAAAAACCGAAATCTTAGCTTTGGATTATACACTTTTGATTTGATCACGGTAAACTTTCAAAGTTTTTGGAATATACAAATGTCCTAAAACATGAGGTTTGATAATATCTATATATTAAAACCCTGAACGTACTGTATACTTGGATCTGTTAGCAAGATATTAGTGAGGATGTTATTTAATTGACGTATAAAGACAACAGAAATCTCTGATATCTAAAAACTAATGGTTGATGTGTAGGACGCTTACAATAAAACATAACATTTTTCTGAACAGGTTTACATCAGTCGGTAAATTCAGAAGTTTACAAGACTGACTTCAGTGTTTCCGTGTACGTATGTGAAAATAAAACGCAGTAACAGTTGAGTTATTCAGAAGATATGGATGAGCTGACATTGACTAAGTCCAAACCACATCGTAGCTACCGAGATTTGAGGAGTCAGGTAGCTTGCGTACAGAAGTTAGCTTGTAGCCATTTGCAATTAAATATAATGATGTATGGTTACGTTGAGTGAAAATTAAGCTTAATAGTATGGTCTTAATTCACTGATGAGTGAACGACCTAAAAAATCCATGTTCTTTAATTGCTTAGGAATTTTAGTCATATTTAATTTTACACCAAGTATTTTGCATAGAGGCGTATTGTTTTGTTTTACAGAAGACCCTGTTCTATTGATCCCCATTTCATTTTATGATATCAGCTTATTGGAGAGATTTAAATCCACACTTCGGTATTATGAAGAGTTATCAATTAGTCACATCATATCAACGAGATTATATTCATTTACTTCAACATTCCTCAGGTCGCCCTTCATTTGTCAAATCATGATTCACAAAAGTTACTGAACTCCATATTTAGTGAATGGTAATTCGTTTATAATAAACATTTTATCCTAAAAATTCAGCATATAGGTCATTCTTTCATTTGCTTGGTTTTCTTAGACAACACTACATTCTAATATTTAGCGGTAAACTTAGTAATTTCAATTATGTAGGCAGATAGCACTGAAAGACTAGCTATGACTTACCTGTGACAGTGGATTTTAGAATCTGACTATATCCAATTATTTCAATTGGTGACTGAAGCTTAAGAATTCCACGTTCTATCCGACCTGTAACAACAGTACCTCGACCAGTAATGGTAAACACATGTTCGATAGGAAGTAGGAAAGGTTTATCTTTTTCGCGTTTCGGCATAGGAACTGAGTCAATCGCATCAAGCAATTCTTCAATTTTTTCAATACCCATTTTAGGGTCGCGATTCTATATAATTATGTCACTAATTTTAGAACTTACTTCCAGTGCACAAAGGGCGGAACCACTGACAATTGGCGTATTATCTCCATCAAACCCATAATGTTTTAATGTATCTCTGACTTCAAGTTCAACCAGTTCTAGCATCTCGGGGTCTGCCACATCAGCTTTATTGATAAAAACGACTAATCTTTCTATTCCTATCTGCTTAGCCAATAATAAATGCTCTCTAGTCTGTGGCATAGTGCCATCAGTTGCAGCTACGACGAGAATAGCGCATTCCATCTGATTAGCACCAGTTATCATATTTTTTATATAGTCAGCATGACCAGGACAATCTGTGTGTGCGTAATGCCGGTTAGATGTTGAGTAATCAACCACTGCTGCATTAATGGTTATGCCACGTTTTCGTTCTTCTGGAGCAGCATCAATCTCTTCATAGCTCCGATAGACAGAGTTGTTTTTTCCAGAAAGTACTAGGAAATTAACGAATTTAAATTGCTTCTTACTTTTTGTGATAGCTGCAGTGAGGGTAGTCTTTCCGTGATCAACGTGTCCTATTGTACCAATGTTCATATGAGGCTTATCACGAATGTAAGCAGTTTTGACTCCAGGAACAGCGTAAAAACGAATATTCTGAAGTCTTAAAGGTAAAAAAACGTAATTACCTGTAGTGGACATGTCAGGGAGTTTGCAATCTTGGTAAACGATAGTGTGCCTAAAAATAACAAAAAATAATAATCTAGTTTAAATATACTTATGAATGCACAGATGAAACGTGAGGCCACTAGATTGGAATCTCATACGACTCAATTTTTTTAACATATCACTATACAAAATTTAATTAGTTTTTACTAAATCTGCTTTTTTGAAGGGAAACAAAACTAACTGGTACTCTAATCTAACCACTGAACATAATATAAAAAACCAAGGTTATTGAACTATGAACACAGGGCTAAGCTAGATGGGATAATGCTGATCCAGATGTGATACACTAATCTTTATGTGCCGTTTATTGTGCGTAATATAGTTTAATCAAACTCTTAATAAACATGATTTCATTTCAAGCAGTGCATCCTAATACAAACCAAAAATTCGACTTCCCAAAGTAGCAAATTATTTCTAGTATGAAGTTCGGAAGTGAAATTCGAACTTATGAACGTAATTGCTATCGACGATTGCTGGCAGCAACTCTAATAAAACTAAAGATGAGCTCTATTGGAAGCTGTCTGCTACTCAAAATCTGACTTGGAAACAGCGTAGTGAGTGGTCTCAACACCGAAGTAAACAAATTAAGACAGCGTGTAAGACATTCAAACGAAAATTTTGACATCTGATTATGTGAACAAATAATAGTGACCGTTTGTTGTCCTCTATCTTTAAACACGTTTAGTCCCAGCAAGTACGAACTTTATGTATTAGGAGAAACACTATTCGACCAGCAACCACAGATATCAACTTGCTAATAATTACCGCTACAGAAGACTAAAAGATTTCTTGATAAATGGGACTCATACTTTAATTAGGATTATATTTAGGTGTCACTGTGTCACCAGACACGACACGTGTCTTTAACTTGGTAGGATGACACTACGTATTGATTTGGGCATGCAGTGGCTAGCGTGACTCACTAGGATAATTGACGACCAATTAAGCGTAGCATATACCAACCAACTATACAAACGAAGGCTTTTAACATAATTTAAAGCTTCAGCATCTATGTCATAATAACGACCGAAAAGTACGAAGCTAAAACGTTAAGAAATACAAAAAGCCTGTGTGACCGGCCTAGAGCAGTTGCTTTGGACTATGGGAACATACTCTCGGGCATAGAAGTGTCTTTGCTAAGTCGCACAAGAAGTATCCTTTCATGGTATGAACAACCGGGGAATGACAACTGCCTTCATGTCACACGACACTACTAAAATAAGGACCAAGATTAGGATTGTCTGTATAATGGTTGTTACATGCAGGCAATACTTCAGAGACTGGTGAAGGAATACTAGCAACTCACAAGTTTACGCATTACGATGAAGGTTTACAACAAACATACCAATCACCACTAAAAGCGAATCCATACAATACCGTTGAAATATTTTGGATTGCTTGAAAATGGAGTACCACAAGGACAATAATTATCAGCCTCGAATACACGATAAAATCAACCTTCATAGTTCACTGACATCAAAAAAGTTTCGTCGCTTTCTAGGTTTCCATTAACAAAACTTGTGATCATGACTAGTAAGCAGAAGACCAAACCAAGCTAAATATTACAGACATTTTCAATCTATTGACTTTGATGAAAATCGAACTACTGAAGGAATTAGTACAGAAAATCTCGTCAAACCAGAAGCTTTACGTTAGAGGTCACCGGTAAAATAACTGCTAAATGGTCATACTAAGTAAAATTCAGTTGCGTGTGTTTGAGAGCTGTTTACTCTTTGTTCTAACAAAATACTTACTTACTTACGCCTGTTACTCCCAATGGAGCAAAGGCTGCCGACCAGCATTCTCCAACCCACTCTGTCCTGGGCCTTCTTTTCTAGTTCCATCCAATTCTTGTTCATTTTTCTCATGTCTATTTCCATTTATCGGCATAATGTGTTCTTTGGTCTTCCTCTTCTCCTTTACCATTGAAGATTCCATGTGAGGGCTTGCCTTGCTACGCAGTTTGGTGCTTTCTTCAATGTGTGTCATATCCACTTCCAGCGCTTCTTCCTGATTTCTTCCTCCGCTGGGATCTGGTTTGTTCTCTCCCACAGTACGTTGTTACTAATAGTGTCCGGCCAATTGGTCTGAAGTATTTTGTGTAGACTATTGTTAATAAACACCTGTATTTTCTGGATGATGGCTTTTGTAGTTCTCCAGGTTTCCGCCACATACAGTAGAACTGTCTTGACATTTGTATTGAAAATCCTGACCTTGGTGTTGGTTGACAGTTGCTTTGAGTTCCAGATGTTCCTCAGTTGTAAATATACTGCTCTCGCTTTGCCGATCCGCGCCTTCATATCTGCATCAGATCCACCGTGTTCATCAATGATGCTGCCCAAATACGTAAAGGCTTTTACATCTTCCAAATCTTCTCCGACAATTGTGATTGGATTGGTGAATGCTGTGTTGTATCGGAGAATCCTGCTTTTCCCTATGTGTATATTGAGACCTACTGCTGCTGAGGCTGCTGCCACACTGTTCGTCTTCTGCTGCATTTGTTGTTGCGTGTGCGATAGAAGAGCCAGATCATCTGCGAAGTCTAGATCGTCCAACTGCATCTTGGATGTCCATTGTATCCCGCGCTTCCTTTCAGACGTTGACGTCTTCATGATCCAGTCGATCACCAGGAGAAAGAAAAGGGGTGAGAGTAAGCAACCTTGCCTAACACCGGTCTTCACTTCGAACGACTTTGTCAACTGTCCTCCATGCACGCCGTAGTGTCGAAGAAGTTTCCAAAGTGTAGTTCTGTCCACGCTATCAAATGCCTTTTCGTAGTCAATGAAGTTGATGTAGAGTGATGAATTCCATTCAATTGATTGTTTCACAATGATCCGTAGAGTTGCGATTTGGTCTGTACACGATCTATCCTCACGGAATCCTGCCTGTTGGTCACGAAGTTGGGCGTCTACGCAGTCCTTCATCCTGTTTAACAATACCCTGTTGAAGACTTTTCCCGGTATTGAGAGAAGAGTGATGCCCCTGTAGTTATCACACTTGCTGAGATCGCCTTTCTTCGGTATTTTGATCAGAAGTCCTTCTTTCCAGTCTGTTGGTACTTGTTCCTCATCCCAAATCTTATTGAAGAGAATGTGGAGTATCCTTGCAGTTACTGCCACGTCTGCTTTTAGCGCCTCTGCTGGAATGTTGTCTGGTCCCGCTGCTTTGCCACTCTTGATTTGTCTGATGGCCATGCTGATTTCTTCAATTGTTAGTGGGCCAACATTGATTTGGAGGTCCGTGGGTGCTGCTTCGATGTTGAGTGGGTTCAATGGAGCTGGTCGATTCAAGAGTTCTTTGAAGTGTTCTACCCACCTGTTTTGTTGCTCTTCAATGTTGGTAATTACCTTGCCTTCCTTGCTTTTCACTGGTCGTTCTGGTTTACGGCGATTTCCAGAGTTTCTTTGTCGTGTCATACAATTGTCTCATGTTTCCTTCTCTTGCAGCCTTTTCCGCCGTCGTTGCTAAATCTTCCACATTTTTACGTTTGTCAGTTCTGATGCTCCTCTTCACTTGCTTGTTTACCTCTGTGTATTCAGCTTGTGCCTTGGCTTTTTCCGCTCTTGTTCGACTGGTATTGATTGCTGCCTTCTTGTTCCTTCTTTCTTGAATCTTATCCAGTGTATCAACAGTGATCCATTCCTTGTGGTGGTGCTTCTTGTGACCCAGGACCTCATGACATGTTGAAGTGATTGCCTCCTTGATCCCTTTCCAGTTGCTCTCCACAGCAGTTCCTTCTCCATTGAGTACATCATGAAAGGCCTGGAACTTGTTGCTGAGGTCTATCTTGAATTTGTTGAGTTTGTTAGTATCCTGAAGAAAGGCCGTATTGAACTTTTGTGATATTGTCCGCCCAATCGTCCAGTGCTTCCTGAGTTTCAATTTCATTTTGGCGACCAGCAAGTGATGATCTGATGCTATATCAGCTCCTCTCTTGGTTCTCACGTCCTCTATAGTCCTCCTGAACGTTTTGTTGATGCAAATATGATCGATTTGGTTTTGTGTAGAGTGATCCGGTGAAGTCCATGTGGTTTTGTGTATGCGTTTATGTGGGAATATGGTGCCGCCTATGACCTGTTTATTGAAGGCACAAAGGTTTGCAAATCTCTCACCATTTTCGTTCCTTTCTCCCAGTCCGTGCAGTCCCATGATGTCTTCATATCTAGTGTTGTCCGTTCCAACCTTGGCATTGAAATCTCCCATCAGAATCGTCAGGTTGTATCTCCTCATTTCTGCAGCAATTTGGAAAGCTGTCTCGGTGTCCCACATTGTACGAACATTCCATGTACCTAAATAAATGGTCGCTCTGGTTGTCAGAAGGGACATCGGCCTCGTGAATTCCGAAGGAATTCGGCTTTCATTATGAGGCGTTCTAATTCTTCTAAATGAAGACCTTTTGACTCCCGGGCAGAGTTTAAAAGATTTGAATAATTCTTTCTGGTTAGCGTTTTTTAGCGAGTTAGTTTTCTACAGGATGGGGACGCTAACCTCATACCAACCCTCCTCCTTTATCCGGGCTTGGAACCGGCAGTACCCCCCGGAGGGACTTCAGGCGGAGTTTCTAACAAAATAGTAGATGCTTATTTGGCTTAGATCTAAAACAATCTATGGTATATATATATATACATATCAGTTAAAGCAATCGCCAAAAGTATCAGTTTTTCCTAAAGTAATTTATCATCTGCATGTTTTGAGTACAGAAACAAAGAGGCAGTGGAATTTTTTTACGTTGAGTAAATCTTCTAATATTGACTGTATCCAAAGGTATAAAGACTTTTTTGTATTTATTTAAGTCGGAATTTTGTTTCCAGATAAAATAACATTTTTATTTTATTTATTTGAACACAAATATTGGTACAAGGAGATACCAAACAGATACTTGCCACACAAGTCACTTGATTTGTGCGGGTTATGATACTGTCCGTGTGTCTAAATCGAAGGCGGATTTCTTAGGAGGCCACACCCTGAGCCTTCGACCTAAAGGTTTGATCCGGAAGTTAGTGGAGCGAC